TCCTACAGAACACACTGTTTACCTTTCCAATTTCTGAAGCCCAGGAAATGGAAATCTGGTTTGGCACTGCTGATGACAGCCTAACTAGAGATGTGATATTCAAGGGGCGTCCAGGTCGCTTCTGTTCAATTCCATTTTTTGGTGGTGGAGCATATCCCTGTGGGAAGAAAGGACAATTAACAAGTTACCAAGTCTTCCCACTGTACCCTGAAACCTGCTGACACAGGCTCGTTAGTTTTAAACAGATCTATTAAAGCAGGTAAACCTACAGGTTCTCTATCCTGGAGACCAAATACAACCCTGAGAAATATCAGTCTTTCAGTCAGCCACAGAAAAGCTTTTTTGTTTTAAAGTGGTTTTAGAAAAGTGTTGAAAAGGTGGAAGAGAACATCATTTGAGTACAGGTGAAGGTCACTGGAAGAGTGAAAGTTCTATGTTGATGCTTCATCCTTTCTCCCTCCACCCCACTGGAAAAGAGTGGAACATTGCAAGGACATAGCCTTAGCAACAAACACAGCAAGTCATGAAGAGTTAACTCATTGTTTCACACACACAAAAGACTTCATTGGTTCCATTTAAGAAACAAATTCTTGTTCCAAGAGCTCCACATCTCCTTAGTTTATGCTTTGCCTCACATGAACTACACCTGGTTCCATTAGCAACAGGTGTCACCTGTCCTCTGCCAAGGCCCCTGAGGAAAGGCTGTACATGCAATATCTGCTGTATTTGAGATCACATAATGGTGTGGGTTGGAAGGGCCCTTAGAGATCATCTTATTCCATCTCCCTCACCATGCAATAAGACTGCAGCTTATTCCTTTCACCGTGCATCTGTCATGATGAAAACAACACAGTCTGCAACAAGAACTCTGAGAATCTCTGTTCCAAGCTCACAGACAGCCTGCAGTCACTCATCTCAAACTCAACCTGCATCTAAAGGATACCAGTAAGATATTGCAGCTATGGGTCTTGCACAGAACTGACTGCCAGATTTCATTTAGCTCGAGACAGTGCTGTTTTATACAAAAAACTTTCCCAGAAAGGATATGCTGGAAAAACACCCACGCGTATGTATTTTTTTACCCAGAGAAACACATGCATCACAGCCTAGTGCTTGGGAAAGGAGTTACTTTGAAAGACAAGTCTAGAAAAAAAATAAAAACAATAATAATTTAAATATATC